GCATCGCACGAGCCGGGGGGGACGTGAGCAGCCGGCGTCCCTTTCTGGGCAGTCACCCCTCCAGGCCGGACCCTGATGACCCTGCGGAGCGGCCAACCTTGGGGGTGGCTTCGGGGGGCTCAACCCCTCGCCGGATCGTGCCCTCGCTCCCTTCCCAGGGGCACCGTCAGGCTGAAGGATCTTCTGCGTAGGGCCGGAGCAGGGGCGTCCCCGGTCGCCAGCTGAGTTTAGGTTTAGCCCGAGGTGAGCGAGCGCCCGCCGATCGCGCCGAGCTCCCGCCGCCTCTGGGAGCGGCCGGACCCGGCCTCCGCCACCGGGATTAGCGGGAGGGTGCGCCCGCCGCCAGAGCGGACCGACTGGTGATCGCTGAAGGGTGTCGTTTTCTTTTTCCCATTTTAATGTGCTGTCACCTCATCGTCTTTGTTAACGTCGGTGTATTTCCAGATAAGAATCAGCTTGCAGACTGAAACAAGCGGCCCTCGGCGGGCGTCGTCCCCTTCCCGATATCCTCGGGTATCCTTATCTGAATGTCATCAGACGCCTACTTAATTTTTTTATCTAATGCGTCCTACTTTACAGGGACTACCCAGTACCCGTTTTGACTTGACTACATGACTCTGCCCCCAGAATAACCTGAAAAGAGGGTCTGAAGCTCTGACCGAGGAACGCGCAAGGTGAAAGGGATGTTTTTAGAAACTACGAAGCCAAATTGCTGTCTCGAATAACAACACCAGCGCTGTTTCATAGAAATCCCATTTGCCTATCAAAAGATCATTAAATTTTGCCGATGACGGAACGGCTCGAGGCATGGGGGGCTTTCCATACGCCACTGAGTTAATAGATCACCCTTTAAACATAAGCAGATGGAGTCTTAGTTTAAAGGATGGCAGGTTAAAAGTCACTGCAGCTGTGCTGGCATTAATTTTTCTGAGGGCGCGGATTTGAAGGGCCCACGTTTGCCTACCCCAGTTCGAGCTCCCGTCAAAGGTGTCAGTTAAAGAGTGTTTGCTTTGTTTCATTTAATTTGGTTGCTCTGAAACGAATTGCCCGCATCTGTACCTTTCTCGTCGTGCGTCGGGGTGGCCGTGACGGGGATGTCGAACCACTGCGCCAGGGGGTTGGAGTACCAGACGGTGAGCTCCTCTCCCGGCTGGACATCTCGCAGCGCCCGGTAGAAAATCTGGGAGGGGAAGAAAGGAAACTTCTTCAGGAGGCTTGAGAGGGGAGGCAGGTGGCAGAGAGCGGTGGCAGGCCGGCCCGGAGACGCGTGTGGGGTACCTGTCCTCCTGGCAGATCCGCAACAGCCTCCAGTGTCTGCTCTTGGGAGTTTCGGGCAGCCCGGATTAACCCTATCCACTCCAAAGCGGAGCTCCCGGCTTCATCCACTAATTCCCCTCTCACCATCCGCACCTGGAAGACAGGCGGCACCGCTGTCACTTCCACGCGAGACGAAACAGAAAGAAAGCGAAAAGCTTACCCGTCCCCCTGCCTGCCTGCCTGTCTGCCCGCTCTGCCTTGCCCGGCGAGCCTGCTTTCCCACGCCGGGCAGGCGTCTGGGCATCGCAGCTCGGGAGCAGCGGCAAGAGCATCCTTGACCCTTCCATCCTCACCCACCCTCGGGGTGGACCTTCTTCGCCTCGCAGGTGCCCTGGGAGAGCCGCGGCTGGCCTGGAGGGGGTGAGGGGGTTGCTGCTCTGCGGGGGTAAGGATGGAAGAGCCCCGAACCAGCAGCATTGCGAGGAGAAACGAGATTTTTCCCTTGGGTCGCACTGGCCCAAACGCACCTTGTTCAGTCGCAGCTGCTGCTTTTAGCTTAAGGCTATTGTAAATTCCCAGGTAAGACTTTTCCTTTTTTTAAAAAAAAATAAATAAATAAAAAAAGAAAAAAAGGGTTTGTGCAGTCTCTGAGTTCGCGCAAAACAATTGCGACCTACAAGATACAAGACTTGTTAGGATACGGGGAAAGGGGAGAGGATTCTGCTTAGCTACAAAGTCTCTGTAGCCCCATACTTCATAATCTGCTTGCCCATACAAAGAGAAAATGAAGTGCCCGTTCCCTGAATGACCGTGCAATAAAAGTCATCGGAACAAAGCCGTCTAAAGCGAGAAACCAAGGGAGCCAGATGAGAAATAAATTTGAGTGGGCTGGCAGAGCGTTTAAAAACAATTAAAGGACATTAAAAATCCGAGCGGAACGCGTGAGCCACGGCTGCCCGGGGGGTGGAAAGAGGGCTCTGATCCGCAGCCCCCCGAAGAGCGTGCTGGACGGGGCGAGTACCCTCCACCGCCTCCTCCTCGCTCCTTCCCAGCTCGGACATCGATTGAGCCCGGTGCCGGTAGCCGGGCGGCCGTCACCCCCTCCCGTCCCGGCTGCGCGGGTCGTTTTCGGCTCAGGGGGTAGGAGCCGGCCCCCGGCTTTGCGAGGAGGCCAGGCTGTGCTCTGCCGGGCGCGGGGCTGCCCCGGCACCGGCGACTCGCACCCCGCCGCCGCCCTCGGGGG